CATGCATTTGAAGGTTGTTTTCCCCCCGTGAGCATTCAGCACTCGCTGCACATCACCTCCTGTCAACGCATTGCCTCAACCCCCAGCATTTCCTATGGCCTGGGTCACTTTTAGAGCAGAGCTTTCCTCCCTCCCCTCCCATGGCACACGAGATTGCCCAACCGCTGCTGCCGGCACCATGTGTGTTCATGCCTGTGTGACTGCTCCTGGCCCGTGGCAATGAAACCACAGCAGAGCGCAGCCTCCTGCCCATCCCAGACACAAGGGCTCTGCTGTGAGAGGCTCTCAGTGCGCACTGCATGGGGATGAGCAGCTCAATGTGGGGCCCTGCAGGAGCATCGCTTGCTGCTGGAGCTCAGGGTGGATTTGGGGAGGAGGAAACCCCCCCGTTACATGCATGGGAAAGGCCCAGCTTTCTCTTTGGAGCTGCATCTGGCCCCAAAGCACTGTCTCCTAGCATGGGTGAAACCAATCATGGTGCTGCAGAGAGCAAGCTGCTCTAGTGGAAGGTGTCCCTGCCCGTGGCAGGGGTTGGAGCTGGATGAGCTTTAAGGTCCCTTCCATTCTGTAGCTCTGATTGTTCACAGGGGTTATTTTTCCCCTAGGAATTCCCAGCGGGATGCTGGCAGAGCCGCATCAATCCCTCAGCCCAGCCCAAACGGCATCATTTATCCCTTACATCAGGAGGAAAGCAGCCCTGAGCTCCCTCTGCATCTCCTCCCAAAGAGCCCCAATGGGACCACACATAACCCGAGCCGAGACACCCAGGGTGGCTCCAGCCTGGATGCTCCTTTGCTGTGTGTGATGGCAGGATTTGGCCTTGCCCCCCCCGCATACCTCCTAAGGGAAAGATCACCCCTCAATGCAGCTGGGCATTGTTCCTTGCACTCCCCATGCATACCCTAAAGCCCATCCTCACCCAGCTGAATGCATTGGTGGGGCTGGAGTGTGAGCTCCTATAGAGCTTTTGAAGGTGCTATAAGGGAAGCAAAACCTGAAGCATGAAGAACCACCCGTTAAGGAAGCACAGGCCACAGCACCTGGGTCATACTTAGATCACATCACCCACCCCGAGCGCATCTTCCTCTTCCCCTTCCTGCTGCTCCCGGTGTTCCACACTGGAATGAGCTCCCCAGCCTTGCCCTGTCTCCCCCTTCCTCATCCCTGCCTGCTAAACTGTTCCACAGGGTATTTTTATACCAGGGCATCTCTCGCAGCCCTTGTGACTGGCACCAGGGCTGCAGCAGCACCGTGTCCTACGCAGTCACACGGCAGCTAGTCACACTGCGGCTCCTCCTTCATCCCAGGAGCCTTTCCATTCGCCTCCCACCTTTCCCAATGGGTTTTGCTGCTGTAGCCTGTAGAGGGGTGCAAGAACCCCCTTGAACTCACAGGGACACCCCATTAGCACACATAGGGCATTCCTGGAGCAGGGCATGCCTCTACACCACAACCTTCGGATCCCACCAGCATCCTTCATGCTCCCAGGGGAAGAAGCAGGCACAGAGCAGCTTTGCCCTCCCTTCTTGTGTTATCCCTCCTGCTTGGGGTTAACCCTCACAGGGCTCCATAGCCGTGCTCTCCAGGGCTTCCCACCCTGCAGCAAGCACTCACCCAGGGCTCTGTCCCGGCAGCATCCCGCAGCAGGGAGCTCCGTGGCTGGAGCTGAGCGTGCCGGATCCCTGCTCCTCTGTTCGGACTTGCCCCTGCTCGGTTTCAGTACCTGTTCCCTTTTTGCTCGTCTTATGACTAAGGGAAACTCCCACAGGTTGGCTGGGCTTCCAGGCGGCGCTTTGCTGCTCGCACTGAGCTGCATTCCTTGCACTCACATCCCTGCCCTCCTCTCCATGCTCCCAACCATCCTTCCCCTTCATCGTCCCCCTTCCTTTCCTCCTCAGTCTCGTCCCCTCACTTTCACCATTCTCCTTTACTCTCTGTGAGCACTGGGAGCTTTGTTCTTATCCCAGTGGGAACCCCCAGCATCCTGCACCCTCCCCAGAGCTTCATCTCCTCCATACCCCAACCAGCACTGCCTTTCTTCTCCTTAAACTGCAATTCCTCCCATGCCAGGCCCCTTTGCCTGCATTAGACCAGCCCTAGGAGGGCTCTGGGCTGCAAGAGGGCTTCTATATGGGCTCACTTTAGGAGGTAATGATGATGGGCAGCTGTGGAGCACACCCAGGAGGGGTTTGGAGGCAAAGCCTGCTGAAAAGAGAGAATGGGGATCTCCCTGGGGGTGTCACTTTGATCCCTTTGTGGCCAGGTCGGATGAGGCTTGGAGCAATCTTAATGGAAGGCGTGGAACTGGATGTGCTTTAAGGTCCCTTCCAACCCACCCCGTTCCATGATCCCTGTAAATGAGGAGCAAAGGGACTGCAAACACGGTTTTCAACTGCAGCTTTTATTGGTGCGATGGCAGCTCAGCCTCTCCATCCTTCACACACTCCAGACCCCGACCCGTGGCCCTAGGCTATGGCAACAAGCAGCTACCCCATCGCGGCCGCTCACACCCAGCTCAGCAGCAGCATCCCAGCCAGCGCAGCCACCAGCAGCCCATGGCGGGGCTTAGAGGGGCTCCCGGCCCCATTCTTGGAGCCCCGCTGCCCATTGCAGTCATCACTGAAGCAGCAGCGCAGGGTGGCCCCGCTGGAGCCGCCAGCACGAGCCTGGTCACAGAAGGCTTTGTAGGAGCACGACTTGATGATGCTGTCTGCAAGGAGAGGAGCACAGGGTTCAGGCACTGCCATGCGTCCTCCCTGCTGCGTGGTCTTATATCCCTTTCCGACCCTAACTGTTGTGCTGGGGCAGGGAAGGGAAGGAAGAGCTGCATCCCAGCACCGTTGTGATAGTGATGTGGAATCAAAGCTCCCATAGCACTGCTGGGGGAGCCAAGGAGTGGTCCGGTGGCCAAGGGATGTCCCTGTGGTCACCCTGCTCATGGTCACGCAGCCCTGATGTGAAATAGGGACCTGGTATGTGTGAGAGTAGGAATAGCCCAGGCTGTGGAGTGAACCCAAGGAGGGAGGCTGGGGTTGGGAACAGTCCCTGTCTGTTCCCATATGGAAAACAAATGGAACGCTGTTCTGAATGGGAACAGCGTCCCACAAAGGACTTTCCTCACACCAGCAAGGGGCTGTGAGTCCCCTCGGACCAAAAGGATGCTCCTGAGGATTAAAAACTTGGGAAACACAAATGGCTCATCCCTGCTTCACAGGGACAAGAGGAAACAGGCTCCCCCCCATCCCCTGCTTCTCTTTGCCCTCTGGTCCTTCCCCAACCAGCCCAGGCACTTACTGGGCGCAGTGATTGTGGAGCAGGCATCAGCGTACTGGGGGCAGCTGTGGGAGCCCTGCTTGTTGCAGTCGTTCTCGTTGGATGCGACACATCTGTGGCATCTCAGCGCTTGAGCTGCGTGAAGATGGGGAGGAGGAAGAGGAGGATGAGGAGTGAGAGCAGCAGCAGCGGCATCCCGGAGCCCCCGTATCCGACCCATCTCTGGATGCTCCTCAAAGGAAGCCCCAGGCGTGTTAGACAATAGCCAGCCCCTGGGCTTGCAGTGCTGTGTGAGCCAGAACTGATGACAGGGATGAGAGCTCTTGGATCCTTTAGGAGAGGGAAGCACACAGCAGGAAGAGGTCCCTGCTCCGTTTAGGAACCAGTGGAGCCGACGTGGAAGCAATGGTATCATTTAATGGTGTCATTTAATCACTTTCAATAACATAAGCGTTAAATTCCTGCAGGCAAAGCCGCCCCCAGCCCTAGATCTGAAGATCCTGCTCCTGCCTGAAACGAGGAATTCCTGGTTTTGATGGATATTCCCGCTGATGCTGAGAGTCAAACCTGGCCGCGCTTTGCTGGCTGAGCAGAGCCCTCTCGTGGCAAGAGGGGCTTGCGGGAGGCCGGAGCTCCCACCTCCATCCCTTGGGAAAACCCATGGAAAACAGGGATTTCAGATGCCGTTAACTCACATTATTGACCCCTGGCTTCCCCAGCGGCATCGCTCGTAGCCCAAAACACCGTCATGGTTCATCTTTTCGTGTCCCAACCATCCCGACATTGCTCATGGCACAGCTCAAGCAGCATCGCCGCCCTCCTGCCCTTTGAGATGCCTCTTTGTGGTTCCACCTCTGAGGAGCCGCATTTTGGTCCAGCAACACCAGAAGCTGCTGCTCCTTGGCTCGGGTACCTCCTTGCCCCACCAGAGATGCAGACCAGGAGGCTCCACAGCCTTGGCTGGCAATGTGAAAAGCAGGATGCTCTTTTGGGTACCAACATCCCCCTGGAATGCCGGTTCTCTGCAGGGATGGGGGCACCCAGCAAGCAGAAGAGCAGTGTTTCTACAGTGATTCCCCCCCCCAACCCCAACCCCAGCACTGCCTTGGACCACAGGACACTTACTGTACCCAGCCAAGGATGTGACGAGGGCCAGGGCCAGGAGGGTCTTCAGGGCGGACATCCCGGCTGTGCGCGGCGCAGGGTGCTCAGCGTCTGTTTTGTCTTAAGGTCTTAGAGCTAAGCTTCTTGGGCTATCGGATCACCGGGCTGGGGATAACGCACTTACTGCAGCCCCTGCCTAATGCCATCTTAGCCGGGGAGGACGGGACACGGATGCCAAGGGCATGGGCAGAGCACTGGAGGTGGTTGGATCTCCCCATGCTCGCCAGGCTGGGCTCTGCTTTGGGGACCAGCTCCATCTCCAACACTGGTGCCTTTCACAGACCGTGGCCATACAGAATAAGCCCTCTCCTGCCGTTTGCAGCAGCCAAGCTGGGCATGAACCCTCCAAAGAGAACATCTGGAGATGCTCTGGACACATCTGGAGAGCCCAGAGGAGCTGTCCCCGCTTCACTTGGGCTGCGCGACGCAGTCTCCATCCCAGCAGAGGATTTCCCCATGGCCATGAAGGTTATCAGGGGGAGCGTGGGGATTAAGCAGAGTCCCTCTGCCTAACGTGTTCAACCTAAACCCAGCTTCTCCATCCTTGCACACAGCAGGAAGGGTTTCAAGAGTGATAAACACGGGTTTTATTCAGGCAATGAAACATGGCAACAAAAATATATTAGTAATCGTTAGAATAATCTGTGTGAGTATAACTCTTACAAATATTTACCTGACATAGAAAAGGGAACTCAGTGGACATATAAAACCGATGGCCATGGCACTTACACACGTGGTGGGAAGCGATTGGGGTCAGTGCAGGGAAGCGCCTGCCTTGGGGGGAGCCATCTAACGTCAGGGCAGTTCCTCATCGGCACTTCGCTGGATGCAGGGATTTCACCTCTACTGCAAGCAGATGATGACAAACACCACGATGCTGGGAGCCCAAACACGGGTACCCGCAGTGCTCCCCTAACCGGGATGCATCCTGACCGGAACGTGGCATCCAAATGGGATGATAGCTCCAGGGCTAAGCCAGCCCCATCCACAGCTGGCTCCTAAGAGCAGCACTCGGGATGCAACAGTCCTGCCTGCTTGCAGCTACAAACACACGCCTCCTATTATATAGAACTATAACCATTATACATATACTTATATATATATATGTAACTATAACCATATTATAGTTAATAAATCATTCCTTAGGAATCTTCTTTCGCCCAGACTGGAAGTGCATGCTGACAGGCGCAGGGATGCAGCAGCACTGGGGTGACAGAGGCAGCGAGTGGGACCGGGAGAGGCTCTGGGAAGCAGATGGGGAGGATGCTGCTGCAAAGGGCAAAACCCAGCTCCCTAAGTAATTCCTGGTCTCAAGGGGGTCAATTCACCTGCACAGACCCCCAGGAGGTCCAAAGGGTCATGCATCCAGGCGGGAATGCTGTTCTGGAGTGGGAGAGCAGTGCTGTAGTCTGCATACCCCTAATTCTGATGATATACAGAGGGAAGGGCAGTGATGCTCCAGTGGGCTGAGGCTGGCACTTTGACTTCCCAAACAGGAATCAGCCTTGCCCATCATCTGCCAGAGGCTTTCCTACCAGCCCATGGATGTGTGGGGAGGGGAAAGAGGGGGGGAAAGAGCAGAAAAGGGGGGTTTCCTTGCTGTGCAAAGGGGCAAACATTCAGCACAAAGCCATGGATGGTGTCAGCCATCAGCTTCCCCACCCCGGTCACTGGGATAACTGGGAGCGCAGGGAACAGGCCCGGACTCTGCGTGCTAGGGCAGGCTGCTGGCATCTTCGTCTGCTTAAGTGCGTGATAAACTCTCTCTATACATCATATAGCTACTAAAATATAACCAAGTGCATGGCTCTGGGTTAAACACTGCATGCGCACCACTGGGGTTAGAAAATAGAAGGAAACCAGCTCAATTCTCTTACAAAAAGGTAGCAGCAAAAAGGTTTGTGAAAGTCTTCAAATAGGCTGGGTAGGAAACAGTCCAAAGAGCAAATACTTCCCTTATGTGATGCTTTACGACTCCCCGCTCAAGGCGATAGAGTCCTCCCTTTACCACTGCAGCTATTGCCTGATCCCATCCATCCGCCTTCTGCAGGGATGCTTCTGCACTGACCCACAGCCCCCCATGGAACCCCAGATCTTGAGGAGCCCCCCGCTTCCCAGCCCATCCAAAGGCAACCTCAGTGGTTGGCATGGCCATGGCCATGGACTCGGAGGCGGAGCGGGCACCCTGCCTGCGTGGAAAAGCAGATGTTGGGCTGCATCCATAGATTCCAAAGGGTACTTCCCTGCTGCCCGGACCTGCCTGTGCCTGTCAAGGCTGCCTTTTGTTTGGTTCCCTTCACGTTCAGTGCTGCAAGGGCATTTCTGAGAGCAGCAAAGAGCCGGGCAGGGCTGCTCTGTTCTGCACTGATGGAAAGAGCCTGAAGCCAGCAGGATCATGAAGCAATTTCCTCCTGTAACATCCATCCTAGCGCAGCTGTGGCATGGGGAGCCAAGGGCACGGGGCTTGGCTTTAGCACTGTGAAGGGCAGTGACCGTGGGGCAGGCAAATGGACCAGCACCAGCTCTGCAGAACCAGCATCTCCCCATGTCTCCAACACCTCCCGGTGCAGGAGCCTCCTGCCCTCCCCTTGGCAGGGCTCTGCTTTAAGAGGACTCAAGTTACTGCAGGTGAAGCGGCTGTATCCGTGCTCCCAAGGGAAGGAGATGTGTAACAGGACCGTGCCTGCCTGGAAGAAGTGAGCAGAGAGCCTCAGTGCTCATAAATGCTAATAAAGTGCACGAATGCAGAGACATTGGGTTCCATTGGCACAGCCAGGGATGAGGATGCTCTGGGCTGCCTTCCACCCACGGACCAGAGACTGGGACCAGCTCCCTGAACCCCAGCACCTCTCCCAAAACCAATCGACCTAATGGGAGGCTGCTTTGGCCAAAGGATCACACTGGTGGCCCCAAACATAAAGGCTCCCCTTTGCTGCCTCTCCCCAGCCATGCACCCATGTGCATGGTCCCCTCCCTAGTGCAAGGACCAGCGGCTCCGGCATCGGCATCACCCACATCCCATGGCAGGGCCTCATAGGGTCAACCTGGAGCAGGAGGGGACAGTAAGTGACAAGAGTGTGTAGGGGCACAACCAGACCCAGACAAAGGACACAGGGTCTGGGGTAGGGGGGGGGAATCCCACCTCCCACTTGAGAGGTGGCATCGGCGCAGAGGGACACGCAGCCTGACTGCAGGGATCGCGGTCCCGGAGCCCTGGGATGCAGGGAGCAGGCAGCAGGATGCTGTGCTCTGTGCCGGGGTCCTGGGGTAAGGCAAAGTGCTGCACGTTAGGAGGAAAGCGGCCAAGTGCAGAGTGCTGGGCGAGGGGTGGTGGGACTCAGTCCGTCTTGCCCAGCTTCGCTATCAGCTCATCGCAGATCTTGGTCAGCTCCTCAATCTCCTGGTTCTGGAAGGAAAACGGATCATGAAGAGCCCCTGTGGTGGCGTGGATGGGAGATAACACCCCTATGGGTACCGCTGATGCTCCTGCCCAACCTCCTCTGTGCAGCATCCAGGGGCTGTGGGGAGCCCGAGCTCACCCATCCTCACCCCAAACGCATCCCGGTGCTGCCATGGGTGCGCTGGTGGCTCTGACAGCCAAACTGAAGCCAGACTGAACTGGCAACCCCAGCACTGCCCAAAGCCGTGCTTACACCCATGCAGAGCTCAACACCCTCCATGGAGAGGATGCAGTTGTACATCTCAACAACCAAACCCAATCTGAATTGACCCCAGTACTGCCCATGGCTGTGCTTACACCCATGCAGAGCTCAACGCCCTCCACGGAGAGGATGCAGTTGTACATCTCAACAACCAAACCCAATCTGAATTGACCCCAGCACTGCCCATGGCTGTGCTTACACCCCTGCAGAGCTCAACGCCCTCCACGGAGAGGATGCAGTTGCACATCTCAACAACCAAACCCAATCTGAATTGACAACCCCAGTACTGCCCATGGCTGTGCTTACACCCATGCAGAGCCCAACGCCCTCCATGGAGAGGATGCAGTTGCACATCTCAACAACCAAACCCAATCTGAATTGACCCCAGCACTGCCCAAAGCCGTGCTTACACCCATGCAGAGCTCAATGCCCTCCACGGAGAGGATGCAGTTGTACATCTCAACGACCGAACCCAATCCCAAGACACGAACCAAGCAAGCAAGTGAAGAAATACCCCCAAACCCCAACCCCACAGAGCACTCTCTAGGCCCAAAGCCCAAAGGATGCCTCCAGCACCAAGAGGATGCTCAGGGCAGCAAAGGGAACGCGGTGTTACCTTCTGCTGCAGGGCTCTCTCCAAGGACTCAACCTTCATCTGCTCCTTGCGCAGCCCCGCGTGCAGCGCCGTGCTCTCTGCCTTGGCCTTGGCACGCACTTGGGCGATCTCCTCGTTGGCTCTGTGATGGGTTCGGACACAAGGGGACAATGGTCACTGAGATAAAGCATCCCAGAGCCCGGCTCCTGCGTGCCCGCGTGCATCAGGGCTGGTTCTCCCATATGGAAAACCTGCATGGACCGGGGTGAAGCTCAACCTCACTCGCTTCACTCAGGGCTGCTGCGTGTCGAGCACAACACAGACACGAGCCCTCTTGGAGCACGGGGAACTGGTTAAGTGGCTGCAAATCCACCATAAACCTCAGTTTCTCCATTAGGAAACCTAAGCAGGGATTGGAGAATCCATGGAGGGATCCGTGCTGCCTTCACTCACAGCCATTTAAAACCACTCGAGCCCGAGGTTGTGAAAGGCAGCTTTTCACATCAATAAGCTCCCACCACGAGGTCTCAGCACCCATCAATCCCATGCATGCCCTTACTTGTCCAGCTTCTCCTCCGCATGGACTTTCAGGGCTTGGTACCGCTGCTCCTCCTGCTTGACCCGGGTTAAATAATCTTGAGCACACTTCTTCAGAGCTTCTTCATTCTGGGAAGGGAAAAGAGCAGGGGACAAAGTGAGGGCGATGCTATGGGACCTCTGCGTGCAGGGAGAAAGGGGGAACGGAGGGAAGGACCTTCTTGAAGCCTTCCAGGACACCCTTCAGGTTCTCGTATCTCCTAAAGAGATCCGATAGGGACCTCTCCACCGAGTTCAGGTCCGCCAGCGCCTGCTCCTTCTCCAGGGTGAGCTGCTGCAGGTTCTTCTGGGACGTCATGTTCGTCCTCTGCTCGTCCTCTGGGATGGAGAATAAGCAGGAAGGGAACACAGGGATTGAGTGGGGCTGGCAGCTACCTCATTGCTCCGTTCACCCCACCGAGGGATGGCACCTTACCTATCATCTGGGCAATGGTCTTCTCATACTCAGCCACGATTTTCCTAGGAGGAAGGGAGAAGGATAACCCAGGGAAGAGGCAGGCACGCACCTATAGCCCTGTTGCTCCTTCCCCACACCTCAAACAGCCCAAGCAAGGCTGCAGGGCCCTGGTGATGCCCCTGGCAGTGAATGGGATTTTGAGCCTGAGACTAAGAACCCAGCAGCAAAACACAGCACGAGCGCATCTCCTAACCCATCCCACCCCGAGGAACCCCATCACATCCCAATGGGAAGGGTCCTACCGCATCTCCAGCACTTCCTGGCGGCTCTCTTCGTACTTCTTCTTCCACTCGCTTGCCTCGATCTCCTTTGTGATTATCTAGGTTGCAGCAGACACAGGAGCCTTGGGACAGGCTCTGGGTGCTTCCCCAGTGCTGTGATGCTCAAGGGGTGCAGGGCAGGATACGGCCCCGGTCCCCACGTTACCTCCTCTCGGATGAGCGTGAGCACGGCCGTCTTCTCGCATTCACTGAGGCAGATGCTGGCCAAGGGACTCTCGCTCCTGGTGGTGGCTGAGGGGGACTTGTCCATGGAGCACAGCCCGGGATTGCCCTGCGAGGAGCAGCCATTCGGGATGCTGCAGGGCTTTCACCTCCCATTTGGGATGCTCTCCCCCCTGCACCAGCCTCTGTGCAGGCGCTGAACATCCTGCACACACCGACAGCCCAGAGCCAGCACCAGGCAGAGCCCATAGGGGGGATTTATTGCACTTTATGCCCAGTCTCCTGCTGGGAGCTGGGGCTGTGCCATGGGACACCCAGGGAAGCATCATCCCAAAGGAGAGACCCAGGAAGGGCTCATTTCGGAAGCAGAGCTGTGCTCACATCTGACATCCCTTCACTTTCCCCATGGCTGGTTTAAATGGGAGCCACAGGCGAGGGACCAGGTCCCCCTTCTCCATCACCTCCATCAGATGGAGACGTGGATGCAGCTGATGCATCCAAACTGCTGCCAGCAGCAGCAGGGCCTCATTGATCACCCCAAATGCACAAGGGGGAAACAGGTATCACTTCCCTGCAGAGCACGGCTCCAGCTGAGCCAGCCCTTCCCAATGGGCAGCCCTGCTCATCCCACCGTGCCCCAGCCTGGGAGATGCTCCCACAGGGCTCCATCACCCTCCTGTTTCTATTATAGGTGCTTTTACAAGAGCTGAGGTGCTCGTACCCCCATTCCTCACTGCTCCCCAAACCACAGCCCAGCTCCTCCTCACCAGGGGACCAAACTAGGGATGAGCTCAGCGCTGTGAGGCTGAATCCCGCCTGGATGCTGCCCCATCCCTTCCCTTGGGGGTGCTGCAGCCTCCAGAAGAGCATTCCTTCCAAGCAAGGGCTGACACCACCGCCTGTTCCTCCTTGTATCCCTCTAAATGACAGCCCCGTGCAGGCATCTCCTTGGGAACCGGCTGCCAGGCCATAAATAGAGAAGAGCTTTGGAGGAGGCTCCGTGCCTGGGCTCTGTTTTGGAAACCAGAGCACTAAAGCACTTCCCTCCCTCCCCTCCTCCTTCACTGCAGCTCAGGCTCAAGCACGTTTGGGTCCAGACAGCCCAGCCCTGGATGGTGTTGGCGGCATCACCCAAGAGCCCCAACCCATCCCATGGGAGCCCCACACAGCGGCTCTGGGATGCTGGCGGCTCAGAGCCTGCCCAGCCCCGAGCCCCGGCTTCGCTTTGTCCTTGTGGGGCTTAGCGTGGGTCAATCTGTCTCAGAGGAGCTCCTTTTGCTGATGTTGGTAATCTCATTGTCATCTGCTTGCACCCGAGCAGCTTTGCCCAGGGTTGGATGAGCCGGCACAGGGTTCCCTGCAGCCGAGGGTCTTGGGGTCACCCAATGGCCCCTTGGGGGTGGCCCTTACAACGCTCATGAACACCTCAATGTGAGGCATAGACCATGTCCTGCAGCTCATCCCTTCCTTGGGACCTCCTCTGCCCTCTCCCTGTCCTGCAGCCGCTCCACACACAGTGTGCTTGCTCTTGTTGAGCATCCATGGGGCAGCCCTGGATCCCCATCATTCCCAGCATCTCCCTCCCGCAGTGCCCATCCGGAGGGAGCCATCCTATGCCAGCCTGTGGGACATCACCCCTGGCTTTACCAAGCCCCTGTGTGGGCTTTGCATGGACTTTAGCTCCCAAAGAAACCCAGTTCAGAGAGGTTTGGGTGGCGCAACATAGGCACAATGGGGTCACCCTCCCGCAGCCCCCAGCCTCCCCATAGGGAGCAAAGAGGAAGCAAGAGGCACTCACAGGGAAGATGTCCTTTTCCACCTGCTTGGAGATCTCCTTTTCAGGGCCTAAAGACAAGGAAACACAAGGTTTTAACCCCTTGTGACCAAGACCCTGCTGCACATAAGGATTTGCTGGGATGCAGAAGGGCATCGGCATCCTCCGAGCATCCCTTCCCAAAAGGCTTCTTTGCCCCATGCTCGTGCCCTTGCAGCCTGGATGCATCCCGCACCCTGCCAGCCTCAAACCCTGGAGTGGAAACCAACACTTCCCTCTGGTGGCAGCTCAGCCCTGTGGTGCCCAGAGCAGGATTGGAGCTGCACGGGAATGCTGCAGGATGCATCCCTGGGCTGAAGCCCAGCTGCTTGGACCACTCCGCATAGCACAAACCTCAGCCCACAACAACTGGGTCCAAAGGAGCTGCCACATGGCCCCAGCTATTCTTAACAGCATCAGAGAGGAGATAAACCCCTCCTGTCTGCAACCTGCCCTCTGGCATAGAGCAGGAGGTGATTTATGGACCTCAGCTGCAGCCAGCACTGGTCAGGCAGAGAAAAGCATGAAGGGAAGGAGGAAACAGAGCTGATTTCCTGCTCTTTCCCCCCATTTCCCCTCCCCAGAGCCTGCAGTCTGCACAGCATCCAGGGGCAATGATGAATGGGCACAGGGCAGAGCTGCAGACCCCCCCTCCTCTTGCACCTTTAGCTTTGCTATTGATTAAATGTCTTGCTCTGACGCCTGGCTCTAATTCTGCTGTAATGGGGTGGTCAGCGAGGCTAATTCCATATGAGACTGACAGCAAAGGGCCAGCAGGAGCATCAGCAGAGGTCTGCAGTGATGCTGAGATCTCCATCAATCACTGACCTCGTGCTGAGAGCTCAGCTTCGAGCAGGGCACCCTGTAACCACCCCAGCATCACAGGGATGCGCTGTACTGACAGCATCCAAGTCAACACAAGCCTGTGCCGCTGGTTTTCCATGATGGAAATGGTGCCATAAGCAACGGAGGTTTCATTATAGGAGCCTTGAGCCCTGGCAGTGGGAATAGAAGCTGCCTCAACAGCATCAATTCATGGCCAGAGCTCCATGCACAGCACATCCCAGAGGATACAGGGATGCTCCTTACCTGGCTCCGTGCCGTGCTTCCCGGCTGGCACAGGGACGTTGGAGCACTCAAAGTACTCCAGGTCATCTTCGGGCTCAGGCTTCTTCTCCAGCCCAGGTTTCTGTGCCGTGGTGCAGGCCAGCTTCTCCTCATCAGTGGCTCGTCCATCCCGATTGGCAATATCTGGGATTTCTGGGATCAGCGCTGCTTCATCCTGCAGGACCAAGGCACGCGGTTAAGCAGGACTGAGCTAATCCACGGGGATCTGGCATGGGAAGCAAAGGGAAGCTTCGCATCCACCACCAAGCTGCAGCCCAGCAGCTCCTCAGTGGGGTTTGGCAGCAGGAAACGCGTGGGGCTGGGGGCAGAAGCGATGAACACACAAAACCCCATTAACCCAACCGCAGAGCTCTGCCGGGGACAGGGCTGCTCCCGCACGCACACAGACCTCAATGAGCCACAGGGACCTAGCCTGGCCAGGGACAGGGCTGAGCACCAAGCAGCACCCTCCTGCCACCCCTTCCCATAGGGAAGATGCTCTCACATTGACTGCTTTCAGGGATACCCCACCCTGACCCCCCACCTCTCACCATGCCCCCCACCGAGCATCCCTGGTGGGATCCCACCTACCTGAGCGCCAGCATCCAGGACCAGGGGCTGTGCCTCGTATGGCTTCACCTTGCAGCCGCTCCTGCAGGGAGAGAAGCAGCAGCTCAGGCATAGGCAGGGACCGCGAGTGAGAGCCGAGCAGGGGGAAGCAGCCCCAGCAGCAGCGTTTGCACCCGGCAGCATCGCACTCACCAGTGAAACACGGAGGCAGAGCAAGCTCTGGGGAGGACAGAGGAGCAAGTGAACAAAAGACAGGACTACAGAGCAACGGGGTTTGTCTCTGAGGAGTTTATTCCTGCTGAAGGGGAGATGCTGACAACGCGAGAGGCCATTGCCACAGAGATGCCCCTCGCCGCACCCTCATCCGGCGGGATGCATCCCAAAGGGCGCACGGATCTCCTGCGGGATGGAAGCTTCTCCAGGCTGTCCCGTGCCCATTCCCTGGAGGTTTGCTTGGGATATCTCCATGGGCAAGTTGGACCCACACGGCCAGATTGCTGGTTCGAGCTCTGCTTTGCTTGCAGGGCAACCGCTGCACCTCGGATGCTCCCTCCAGCAGATGCAAAGGGAAAAGAGCCTTGCAGACAGGAGAAGGTTGAGCTCAGGTTGATCTTGAGTGGCTGGATGCTCTCCAGTGAGGAAGCTCTCCCTGGCTCTTCATCCCATGCTCCTCAAGGCGTGCCATTCCAGAGTCCATCAGCACAGCCACATCCCGACCCGCCGGGCATCAGCATCCTGAATCAGCTGGGGGCAGCACAGGGATGGTCCCAGCAGGAGCAATCCTGCATCTCACCGCCCTCTCGCTCCATGTCCACCATCTCCCATATCCAAACCCCCAGAAGGCAGATACTGGCCAAGCTGGATACAGCTCGTGTGGCATCCCACTGCGGGTACCTGCAAAGGGATCTCTGCCACAGGGACACGGGCAGAGGCTCAAGCAGGATTGCATTGAGCCATTCCTTGCTATAAAGCATCTCTCCCACCCACTTCACTCCCCATCCCATCACACACGTGCGCCAAATGATTCCCCCCCCCCCAGCACCAAGATAACTGGAATTCAAGGGGATGGGGCAATGGGGAGCAGGCAGCCCATGATGCCCTGCAATGCCTGGGGCACAGGCAGCCCCAATCGTGCTGCAGGGCCCGTGGTGAACACAGACACCCACTGTGAGCCAGTGGAAAGGCAGATGGGGTCTTGGCCAAGACACAGATGTCAGCGCTGGAGCCCGGCTCCAATGCTGGTCGTGCATATGGCAGCAGCACTGAGCACACAAGAAGGGCATTGGGATGATGACAGAAGATGGGAGCTGAGCCCAGCATTCTCCCTTGCACCACAGCAGAGCCCAGAGGGCCTGGGAGGGGACGACTGACAACGCTGAGCATCCCCCATGGCGGTGAGGCAGGTCCCTGCTGTGTGCCCATCCTATGGGATGGGAGCTGCAAGCCCTGGGGGCACAGCAGGGGCAGGGGGTATTTCACTGGGGTCCCACTGTGGCCGCTCATGCCAGGGGTATGGCAGAGCCACGCTGCAGCACTGCAGGCTGCAGGGCAGTGATTGGAGCTGCTGTGCTCGAGCCGAGCTTTCCAACCCGCGCAGGGCCCTGCAGCCCGGCTCCATCCCAGCCTTGGACACAGCAGGGATGCTCTGAGGGCTCTGGCAAGCACCAAAGAGCTCAAATGAGCCCTGTTTGGAGCTGGCTGCGAGGGCAAAGCTCCTTTGGGACCACCTCAATGTCCCAGAGCCAGAGGAGACAGGCACTGACTCCATCACCTCCCGGATGATGCTTTCCCCTACCCCTCTATAGAGGTGGCTTTGGGATGGGGTAGGAGATGCCCTCATCTTCAGGACTACCCATCCAGGCTGCACACAGAGCTGCTCCCCTCCATTAGCCAACGCACTGGGTCTGAGGGCTTGAATGTTCTAAAGGCATTGCGGGCCGCATGCTGCGGGAGCAAGCACAGCATCCTCACCTCACCGGGCAGAGCCACCCCGAGAGCTGCAGGACACGGACCAGAGAGCGCGGAGCATGAGACAAAGGGCACAAGGAGCCTGCATGCCGTGGAGACGTGTGGGGCCAGCACCCACCCAGAGAATGAGGACAAAAACCAGCCAAGGAGAAGAGGAAAGCAATAGAGAAGAGAGTACTTACAACAGAAAACAGAGAAATTTCACTTGTTCAGTGGTCCTGATGCACCAAAGCATGGACAGGGAGAGAGACAGACAGATGGAGAGAAGAAGAGCGTGTGAAAAGACCTGGGTATTAACTCTCATTGGGAGAAGCACAGCGCCATAGCCCAGCTCTGCTTTTTGGGGAGGAACACACGGATAAAGGATGCTCTGATTGGGCATCTCCTGTTCACGGATGTGAGATTGATGGTGTCATTCCACCACGCATCCCACTGCCAGGGAGGTGAGTGAATGGAGCAGCCCGTGCTCCCAGGAGAAGGGACCCTAAGGACTTATAGAATCATGGAATGGTTTGGGATGGAAAGGACCTGGAGATCATCCAGTTCCACTCCGCTGCCATGGGCAGGGACACCTCACACTAGACCGTGTCACCCAGCACGGCCTTGAACACTGCCAGGAATGGGGCATTCACTTCTCTGGGCACCCTGTGCCAGCGCCTCAGCACCCTCACAGTAAAGAACTTCCTTATCTCCAACCTGAACTCCCCCTGTTTCAGTCTGAACCCATCACCCCTTGTCCTACCCCTACAGCCCCTGATGAAGAGCCCCTCTCCAGCATCCTTGTAGCCCCCTTCAGACACTGGAAGCTCCTCACAGCTTCACCTCTCCCTGCTGAACAGCCCCAGCTCGGTCACACAGGGGAATGCTGGCTCCCAGAGAGCCCACATCCCCTCCCTGCAAAGCGTTTCTAGGAGCAGAGCACCCAACACACCCTTACTTCTGCCTGCTGGGTGTTGTCTGTGCTCCCTGTATAACCCTGCTCCCGTTTTCCCATCAGCAGAGCGATGGCGTGCGTTGGTTTTGCTGCCAACTCCACGCTCCCAAAATTCCCCCTCCTTTTGAGCCCTTTTGCTTTCAACTGGTTCCAATCCCACAACCCCAGGTTATAGTGGAAGGACCCAAAATTGCCTGGGCAGGTAGAGCCAAGCCTGGCTCAGCAGCTCCCATCCCCAACATCAGGCACTGCCCGGACACGGCTTGGAGAACATTGGTGATGCCACAGGTGAAAAGGCAAGGAAACGGGAAGGTTTGGCCATGAAACCTGCTCCAGAGGAGCATTCCCAGCAGGAACTGCCTGCATTCCCAGGAGGCACCATGAAATGTCACCGTCTCCACTGGGGCGGGGGGGTTAAATAGCACGGTTCAGGACCTAAAAAGGCACTGAAATAGCTCAGCAAGGCACAAGCAGCTCCCTCCTGCCTGTGCAGAGGTGATGGAAGCAACAGATCTGCCTCTTCACCACTATCCCCTTCCCCTGCTTGGCAAAGAGCACCCCCATGGCAGCTCGCACCATGTCCCAGCAGCATCTGACCCATCAGGCAGGCACCCACAAGCTGCAGCAGGCTCCCAAACCCTCATCAATACTTTCTAAAGCCTCTGCTCTGCCCACCCCAGCTCCATGAGCCGGAGCCCTGAGGGTTTTCCAAAGGGATGATCCTGCAAAGCGGGTCCTGATCCAGCCCTCCCCATTCTACGTGGGACCCCAGCACCACACCAGGACCTCGGTCCCTCTCCTCCCATCCGCTCCTGATGCTCCAGGATGCCAACAGGGATGCAGGAGCTGCCGCTCCGCTGGGACAAGGGGTGGATAAAAGCAGGGCAGCCGAACCCGAGGTGCACATCGGTGTTTCAGGCTCGCTTAGAAGGCACGGGGGCATCATCACCATCACCACCACCACCACTGCTCTGCCTGCAAGGGAACGGAGGGGCCGCTGCTGCCCGCTCCATCACTCACGTTATCAGGCGGGACTTGGGCTTCTTGGGGGAGCCGCTGCCTCTGCCGGGCTCATCCTGCACCTCCAGCGCCTGAGACTCCAGGATCTCATTGAGGCTGTTGTCAGCAGCAGGGCAGGAGTCGGTGGTGGAGCTGCCGAGGGTCTTGGTGGGCTTCAACGGATCCATTGCCTCAAAGTGATTGGGGTCGAACTGGTAGGACCCTTTGGGGAGAGCCGGCGCTGAGTCCTGCAGCGCTGAGCTGCCACCCAAGGGGCCTATCCGGGGTGCAGGACCCAGGCGGGGGGAGCCGGGAAGGGGCAGATCCATGGGGCCCCTCTCTGCATCCTCAACTGGTTTCTTGGGGGGCTCTCGGTGCCTCTTCGGTGTCACTTTGCTGGCCGGGATCCTGCTGCCCCTCCTGGGAGCTGCTCTCCTGGTCTCCGGGCTCTCTCCTCCCTCCATCGAATCAACCTCAGGCTTTGGGAGCTGCTCTTTGTGCTCCGGGTCCCCCCCTTGCTCCCCAACGCTGTCACTGGGGTGGGGAGGGCAGTGTGGGGCTGATGCTACAGCGGGGTTCACACTCCCATCGTACAGCTCCAGGGTCTCCTCTATGGATCCTTCTGTTATCCCTTTCCCATCCTGGACCAGAGCATCCCCCTTCGGCTCCATCATCCCCATGCTGGCATCCGCCGCATCCTCTCCCAACATGACCCGCTCCTGGTCGGCCCCACTGCCCGGTGCTCCTTGGGGCTGGATGTGAGCCTGAGGCTGCCTCAGGGATGCATCTTCGGGGTCGTTTTCCCCTTTGGCATCCAAACTGGCTTTAGGGGCTGCGATCTCCACACGAGCCTCATCTTTGGGATGCTTCCCTGGCGAGCTGTCCCCATGGACCTCCCCTACCAGCAGGTCACCATGGCCACTTGGCTCTGCAAAGACAAAAGGAGGCAGTTAAACCCTTGCCTGCTGCACACCCCATTTCAAGAGGGGGTTTTCCTCCCCTCCTTACGTGCTCCAGGGTCATAGTTTTGGGGGGGATTCCTGACCTGTGCAACCCTGGCATCAAGCACTTGTGGTAAGATTTGAAGCCCTGGAGACTGTGGTGAAAACATAGCCTGTAAATGGGGGGGGTCCCCTGTAAATGGGGGGGATCCCCTGTAAATGGGGGGGAGCTCAGACACAGCACCCACATGCGGTCGATGCTCTCTCCCACAGCCTGTTGCTGCAGAGCAGCAAGGCTCAGCACTGCTGTCGGAGTTCCTTAATCACAAATCCTGATCCATGACTTAATCCCTGCTACTCCAATCCCTGCCCCTAAATCCTTTTACTGTTTCATCTGTTCTTTGCTGTCAAAGGGATGGGGAAGGTCCTTATCATCCTGAAAGCTACACCCACAAAGCACCTAGAGCCGGGACCTCACTGTCACCTCCTCTCCTGCATCTCAACCAGGGGCTCCTGGCATAAGGCAGGAGGGGATGCTGGGATGCTCAGCACCACCAGGGACCCACAGCTCTCACTGGGAACGGCAACAGGGCTTGTGCTGGGGAACCTGTCCCATTGCACTGCTGCAACCCTGCCCTGGCACGCAGTGACAGCCATGGAGCGCATCGATTCGCAGGACGTTTGGATGCGGGATGCTCACAAGCTCCCCCCAGCACATCCCTGTTCCTCCGATGGGGCATTTGCACCCAACTCACGTTCACTGGGGAGGGAGGCTGGCAGGAGGAGGAAAAGTGAATCAGGGCTAACCCAGGACACGGAGCCAACAGCCCTGACTCAGCCGACGGCTTGCGGTTGGCATTAGTGGTGTCCAGGATGCTAAAAGCCATGCAAATGAACCAGGAGGGGCTGTGTGAGTGCAGGAAACCCTCCCTCCGCCTGCAAAAAGGCTCCCTCCGAGCACACATCGCTCTGCTGCCCCAGGAAACGCCTCAGTAAACACAACCCAATGGATGTGTACTCGGAGTGCAGCCAGGAGGAGATGGTCCGAGGCAGCGCCTGCCGGGAGCAGGGAGAGCCTCCTTAAACAGATCCCAACTTGGAGCTGGGATGGTTGGAACGGAGACAGCGCTGAGGAGGGAGCAGACTTCAAAGGGAGGGCAAAAAGGCACCTTTTGAATGCGTTTTCCATTCCCACCGGCCGGCTCTGCAGCTGCTGTTCTCACAGACGGGAGCCCCCATCCCGGTTTCCAACCCGAGCAGGGAGTAATTGCTGCTGGAATAACAAGCAGCCGGCACGCAAACCACCTCTGCTGGCTGGGATGGCTGCAGGGCAGGGAGAGCAGGAGCGCTGAGCCACCATTCCTTCGGCAGCATGGGAATCATAGCTCAGCTCATCCCCTCCTTCCTACCTGCATCCCAGAGCTGAGGGACTGGGATGGACTGGGACACAGAGGGTGGGGGTGAAGGAGAGGAGCATCCTGCTGCGGTAGCACCGTCCCTCCTGCAAGTTCAGTGGGGTTTTCTCCCCTTATCAGGGGAGGGCCTGACCATGAAACCCATAGAAATCCCTTTGTGTGTTCTCTGAGGAGAGCAGGACAAACCCCCCTATAAAGCAGCCCCAAAGGTGATGGGGCTTCCAGTGTCTGAAGGGGGCTATAGGGATGCTGGAGAGGGACCTTCATCAGGGATGGTAGCGATGGCACAAGGGGTGATGAGTTCAAATTGAAACAGGGGAGGTTCAGGTTGGAGATAAGGAACAGCACAGCAGCAAGGCTCAGTGCTGCATCCATCCCAAACACAGATCCAATGCAAGGCACCCTGGATCCCTGCAAACAGCACTTGTAGTGGCTGTGCATGGAGTACGAACGGGCTCCTGGTCCGGCCAGGGGATCTGACACAGTGAAAACAGGGATTTATCCTCTCCAAGCACAAACACACACGCAGGACAGGCTGGCACCGCTGTAATAGGCACTTTGTGATGTGCATTTTAATCCTTAGGCCCATCCTCCTCAGGCTGCAATGAAGCACAAGCACGGACCAGCCCAGCAGCTTGAAGCAGAGCAACTTGGCTGCAGCAGTGCCCTTTTCATCCCACATCCAGCACCCATCAGAGCAGCGCTGCTCCCCACACTGCCCTCAATGCCAAAGGCAGCAAGAACAACCCCTGCACTATCCACAGCACAGGATGTGCGCCCGGTGCTTTCAGCCTGGGCTGACGTAGCCAACGGCTCCGTTCCCCTCTTGCCTTTCCGCTTTGTTTCGCTGCCGTTGGTCTATTTTTAAACCTATTCTCTCAGAACGAGCATCCTGGCAGAGCGATGCTGCCGCTAACGCGCCGGAAAGCACGTGCCCTGCGTCAGGGTAACAGCAGGAGCAGCCCGGGAGCGCCAACGGGTCCATGTTGGCTGTCTCTGCTCGTTTCCTTGCACACAGTATTCCTTGCTCTGGGAGACGGCCGGAGAGAAGCTCAGCAAGGATGGTACTGAATGGCAGCACGAAGCCCAGCCGAGGTGATGGGATGGAGGAGCAGGGTTAACGCAGCCCTCAGCTGCACGCAGAGCATCCATCCCCTGTGTCACAGCTCCTATCCCTGCCTATTCCCAAGCAAGGCTGAGGCTGCAGCGCCTGTTCCCCAGCCTTGCTGAGCCAGGAGAGGCTGCATCCACCCGTGTTCCTGCTGCTCCTCCTGCAGCAGCGATTCCCCATCAGCTGGTGCGTTCCTGACATGCAGCCATTTCATGGGATCACCTCCCCATCGCCACCGCTCCTGATCTGCAGCCAGGCGAAGGGCGCACGCTGCTGCAGAGCAGTGCTGCCAAGGTGAGGGCTGAGCCGATGGATTCAGCACCCCGGGGTGCCCCAAACTCACACCCACACCTGGGAGATCCCTTCCCTCCATTTCAGACACCGAAGGGATGCAGGGAAGGGATGGAGCTGGGTGCTGGGGCCCTGCTGTTTCCAACACCCTGCTCTCCATCAGCCACCTCAGATAAACAGCTTGTGCCAGAGATCAGCCTCTAACACTGCGACCTTTGTGTGCTGGCTCCCTCGCTCCATGCCTGGCTGGCATCAGGGAACTGCTCATCCCAGGGTAAGGGCATACACCAAGCAATGTGCTTCCCTAAGGCAGAAATGATCTTCAGACCAGCCAGGAAAGCCTTAATCTCCCCTTTCCCCCTCCCCAGGCATTATCCCTCAAAGTAAAAACGCCTCTATCATCCCTGCTTACAAGGACGATTCCAAGAGCTGCGACTATGGGAAGCATGGACCCAGCGCTGCCTCTCAAGGAAAACGAACCTGTGTTTCCCACAGGCACCCAGATCCATCCCAACAGCAGAACAACACCGCAGGAGGTGGCAGCCCACAGCACCCTGTTACTGCCGAGGCCACCCAGCACTTGGGCTCCTGGTCCCATCTGAGCTCACACAGACCGTGCCCACAATTCCCCCTTGGGAGAAGGTGTGATGGTGGGAGTGAGCTGGTCCCCAAAAGACCAAGGATTAACAGGGAGCCACAATGGTACACAACACAGGGACAAACCAGCATCAGCACCGAGGACCCCTGCACTTCCAGCAGCAAAAAAATCACAGTTTCTCCACAAACAGGGCTCAGCAGCATCTTTAACGGCAGCAAAGGATGCTAACTGCAGGGGAATGAGGGCACAGCCCTTTGCCGAGTGGCATTTGAGCCACGCAGGCCATTAACCACAAACAATGTGGCAGGCATTATTCAGAACAAGCCACTTCTCCTGCGTGCCCCCACCCGGCTCTATTCATCCGGAGCCCAAAAACAGAAGGAGATGATGGCTCCTTACCCCGGGTCCCGGCTTCGGGCTCCAGCGGCGGCTCCTTTAGCAGCGCGCTGGTCGGCGTCCCTGCTTCAGGGGTCTCAAAACTATCTTTGGAGTCCGAGCTGCCGAGGAGGGGGGGAAAAGAGGGAGGAATTACCGCTTGCAAGGCTTAGCTCCGCAATCCTCCTCGCTGCCCGCACCGCCGGGCGGGCCAGCTCCCGGCCGGCCGCGGGCATCCTGCGGCAGCCGCTCCGTCCATGTCCAGCGGCACACGCTGGCAAACGGAAAAGGGAGAGCAGGTGAAACGACATCGTGAGTGCCCCCCCACACACACCTCTACGTGTGCCCCCAACCCTCCTCTCGGCCGAGCATCCACGAGTCCTTCCATCAGGCCTTCCCCTTGGGCATCCACCGAGGGCCACAAGGATACGGCTGCACACTCAGCATCTCCCCATCCCCGGAGGGGCGATCCTCGGTGCTCACACCTTGTGCCCCCCACCCTCCCAGCATCAACCCGGGGCAGCAGCGACCGGTTCCCCTCCGGTGCCCCCCCCCCATCGGGCAGCGGAGCTGGTGCCAGGCAGCGAGCGGGCAGCGAGCAGGCAGGGAGCGGGCAGCGGAATGGGGGGAGAATGGATACGGGCGCGGTCGCAGCCCCGACACCACGCGTGGACGCGGGTCACTTGCCTGAAGCCGAGGGCCGGGTCCTCTTCCTCCTCCTCCTCGTCTTCCTCCTCCTCCCCGTCGGGGCTGCCGCCGCCCCGCACCGCGGACCAGGTCCAGCGGGCCCACTGCACCGGGGAGAGGATCTGCCAGGCGCTGAACGCCATCGGCCCGCTCCGAGCCCCCGTTCCGTTCCCTTCCCAGCCCCGCTCCGCTCCTCTCCTCTCCTCTCCCCGCCGGGCTCGCTGCGGCCGCGCCGCCCCCAGCGCCTCCCCCGGGCTGCGGGGAGGGAGAAGGAGAGGCCGCCCCCCGGCACCGCCCGGCGGGAGGGACCGGACGGGGACCCCCCCCCTTTTAGCAGCGCCCAGCGAGGGGGATGTGGGGCGGGATGCGGGGGATGATGCGGGCACCCCGCGCCCCCACCCTGCGGGTGGGTGTTGAGGAGCTGCTGCTCCTCCTCCCTTCCCTCCCCTCCCCACGCAAACGCCCAAATTCACCTCTTTCTGCCCCAAAATAAGGGCACCCCCTGCCCATCACCAGCCCCAAACCCACCCCTCACCCCCCCCCCCCCACTCAGCGGTGAAGGACATCCCCCCCCCCAACTAAGAGAGCAGAGGGCTGTGAAACCGGATCGGCCCCGATTTATCCCACGTTTATGGGGCTGCACCTGTGCTCTAGCACAGATTCCTTCCATTCGGGGTGTGCCAGTGGCCCCCCGAGGGGGCCGAGCCGGGAGCAGCGGATCCTTCCCTAGGATTCAGTCACAGGGGGACAGGGAAACACCGGCCCCCTCCTTCCATTTTCCAAGGAAATGCCGGCCTCGGCAGCCCTGGCTGATGCCGCATCCTGGCTGATGCAGGTTTCTTCATGTATTTAACTATTGGCGTTCCCTGCAGGAACAAACACCCCTGAGGGCCTCCCATGGGAATCTGCCCCCTAAGGACGGCTCCCACATTCCTTATCTCCCACAGAGCGGAGCAGAACGTTCCTGATGCATCCAAAGGAATGTCCAGGGCTTTGGCAACGGAGCTGCAGCTTCCCGCAGCCCTCCCACGTCATCCTGGGGCAGGTCCCAGGGGTGCTGTGCTGCCAAACCAGCCCGTCCCGTTGTGAAGAGGCCCTGTTGGCCCTCCATAACCGCCCCATGTACTCCCATGGCAGGCTCAGACCACTTCCTGGTGAATCATCCACCAGCTCCCGGCCCAGGAATGCATTCGCATGGGCAGAGAGGCCTGGGGGTCAGACCGGACCCGTCCAGCGGGTCCGGCCACCTCCACTACCAGCCTCCAGCAGATGCTTCAAAGGGCTCATTCCTCATCGCAAATAACCTCCCTACAGGGAGCCTTTCCTGCGAGCTTCCATCTGTTGGTGTCCTTATTAAACACGTGCGTCATTGCTGCGCGTTCTCGCTGCCCTTCTGCCAAAGAAGAGCCCCCGTCCCCTTACACAACGCTTGCAAAGGCACCCCCACATCCCCAGTCACCCCTCGGCTGCAGCCCAGCAGCGCCGTGGGCCTCGCTCCCTGCTGAGGATGCTGCACAAGAGGGGGCAAAGTGAAACCCCAGAGGCTGAGGCAAAAGCAGAAGCTCCACATCCTGCCGCCTCCATCTGCTGCGAGCAGAAATGAGCAGCGGCTTCCTGCCATCTGCAGATGAATTTTACATAAGGGTAGCTCTGCACACTGCAGCATCCGCTCCCGCTCCCCATTCCCACCAGGAACGGGAGCCCAAATCCCTCCCGACCGAGGAAACTGGCTGGAGCAGCGGCTGATGCCTGCAGGAATGGGATTGAGCGGCAGCAGGAACGGGATCAGCAGGATTGAACCACGCAGCGGCAGCAGCAGAGCTCCTGCCCTGCCGGGCGCTGGGGTGGGAAGATACAGGAGGAATGCAAAGGCAGATCCTGCTTCCACTTGATGAGCAATTAAGGCAATGCCTCCAGTGCCATTTTCCAGCTTGGCACCAGCACATCAGACATCAGCAGATAACCTCACCGCAGCAGTGGCACCGCTGCCACTGGCTGCCAAGTGCTGCTCAGCACGGTCAGCAGACACAGAGAGGACCCTGAGCTGCTCCCAAGGAGACCTGCAGCGGTTCCCATACGCAGGGTGAGCTGCAGCTTTGTGCTCACCTCCTGCCCCAGCCCGGGACGTCACTGTGTGCAGCCACGGTGGCTCAGGGGTAGGCAACGATGTACAGCCCAAGGTACCAATGTACAGCCTGAATTACCAATGTACAGCCCAAGGTACCAATGTACAGCCCAAGTTACCAATGTACAGCCTGAATTACCAATGTACAGCCTGAATTACCAATCTACAGCCCAAGGTACCAATGTACAGCCTGAATATTGATGTACAGCCCAAATTACCAATGTACAGCCCAAATTACCAAAGTACAGCCCAAGTTACCAATGTACAGCCCAAGTTACCAATGTACAGCCTAAATATCAATGTACAGCCCGAGTTGCCAATGTACAGCATAAATATTGACGTAGAGCCCAAATTACCAATGTACAGCCTGAATTACCAATGTACACCTTAAATATTGATGTACAGCCTGAATTACCAAAGTACAGCCCAAATCACCAATGTACAGCCTAAATCACCAATGTACAGCCTGAATTACCAATGTACAGCCTGAATTACCAATGTCAGCCTGAATTACCAATGTACAGCTTAAATATTGATGTACAGCCCAAGTTACCGATGTACAGCCCAAGGTACCAATGTACAGCCCAAGGTACCAATGTACAGCCCAAGGTACCAATGTACACCTTAAATATTGATGTACAGCCCAAATTACCAAAGTACAGCCCAAGGTACCAATGTACAGCCCAAATTACCAATGTACAGCCTGAATTACCAATGTACACCTTAAATATTGATGTACAGCCCAAATTACCAAAGTACAGCCCAAGGTACCAATGTACAGCCCAAGGTACCAAGGTACAGCCCAAATTACCAAGGTACAGCCCAAATCACCAATGTACAGCCTAAATATCAATGTACAGCCTGAGTTACCAATGTACAGCCTAAATATTGACGTACAGCCCAAATCACCAATGTACAGCCCGAATTACCAATGTACAGCCCAAGTTACCGATGTGCATCCCAAATATCAATATACAGCCTAAATATCGATGTACAGCCCAAGTTAAGCAATGTACATTCTAAATATCAATGTACAGCCTAAATATCGATGTACAGCCTCTCACCACCCTGTCCCAGCACCCAGTCTCTCCCATTGGCATCCATGCAAAGGCCAATCCATGGATACAGGAGATGCTGCTGTGGCAGCACGGTGGTCCTCAGCCCTGGGAGGCTCTAACCACGGGCAAGTCTTGCTTAGTCACTATTTGTCCTGGCTTTGCCTCTGTTTAAGCAAATACCATGGGTTACCTAAGTGACATCCTCCATCAGCCCTGCAAGCACAAGGGGAGATGCCCCAAGAAGGGATTGTCGGGGTTCTTGCAGGCCTTTCCCTGTGGATCACCGGCCTGGGTGATGGCCAAGGGCCACCACACTGCTCTGGGAAGGAGAGCTGGATGACAGCTTTCCATGGAAGGGGAATGCAGCAGCACTCTGCCTCCAAGCAAGCAAGTGGAGACTCAAAGGATCTGGAGCTGGAACAGCTCCTGGCATCATGGAGGCTGCAAAAGGATGCAGAATCCTCCTCACACTTCTTATGCTGATCCTTGCAGGAAGCCAGCTGCATCCAGGGATAGGAGCTCTGCATCCAGGGGTAATAGTTCTGTATGCAGGGATATCAGCTCTGCATCCAGGGATAATGGCTCTGTATCCAGGGATAGTGGCTCTGTATCCAGGGACAGCAGCTCTGCATCTGTGCATCCGGGACAGCATCCCAAAGCATCCCCCAGGCCCAACAGCATCCCAGGACATTCCCTGGGAACGCCAAGCCTAAGGAAACTCCTTTGGGACTCTGTATTACTCAAGGACAACGGAGTTTAAGCACTGAAAGGAGGCGATTTGGCAGCTACCAAAACCAAAGCCAGGCTTGAGCTCTTCTAGGAACGGCCGGATGGTGTCGCTTGCGGATCGTTAATTCCAGACTAAGCGCTATACCCGGGAATGAGGCGGGCAAAGGGAAGGAGGATTCATTGGAATGGACCCCAGGATGTCGGGAGGCTCCTACGCAGTTACAACAGGTTTTAATGCCAGCTCCAGCTTCGGGACTTGCTAACTTGGATGAGCCTTTTGGACCTTTTGTGCATGAAAGGCAACAGGTTGCTTTAGGAGTTCTGGCCCAAAAGGTGGGATCCTGGAAGAGGCCTGGATCCAGTTAGAAAAGGATGGTCTGCCTCCTGTTCTTATGCAAGGGGCCTGAAGACTGATCTGGGGACAGAAGATGGTAGCAAAGGTACCACACGCAGGACATCGGTGTCCCCCAGCAGGATGATGAAGCACCAAGTGGTGCTGCTAGAACAAGATGCTATAGAATTAAACCTCACAAACACTGTCAATCCAGCTCATACCGGGGAAAACAGAACCTGAACACGATTGTTTTACAGACTATTGAACAGGAAAAAGTGATTTGAAAGGGCTATGGGTCAAGAAGTTGTTAGTTGTAGTAGATATTGGGGCCAAATATGGGGCCAAAGTGCCCCAGAAGAGGAGGAGGAGGAAGAGAGCATCCTTAGACCGAGGATGTCAAGAGGTTGGCAAGATAAAGCAGGACTGTCCTCAACGTCCTCCTCTGTTGGGGTACCCTCTCCCAAACAACCCTCCGACACCCCGCACGCAAGACTTTGCTTGCTCAGCACATCCCGGCGCAGGCGCAGGGAATCCGGCTCCTTCCGCACAATGAATATGCATGAGGGAGGCGGGATAACGGGATTCGTTAGGTGGAGCTTTGGTGTACGAGTATGGGATGAAGGATCCTGGTAGGGGCGCTTGAGTTGTGGCGATGCCCCAACCGAGCCCTGTGCGTGGAATAAACGCCTCCTCCCTAAACAGGCTTGGAGCGTGCTTTGGGAGCTCTCTTTTCCAACACAACACCTCCCTCCTGGCGCAGGCAAGCGCTCGCTCAGCATCCCAACCCTCAGCTCCCTTCCCCTTCCTACCTTCGCCGACACAGACTTGTCCCGGGCTCCGTCAATCTCCGCTACCTTTCCCGGTGGCTCCTTGGAAAGCCGCTTGCACAACCGCCCGCAGGAGGAGCAGGGAGGAAGGAAGGGGATGGGCA